TTCACAGTAGTTGTTTCTCCATTATCCTCAAAAAATAAGGGCCAATAATCATCTTTGGGCCTACTGCACACCAAACTGTAACTTTCGGGGTATGCAGGGGGTGCTCATGCAACTGTTGGGGGTTCACTGGAGACCAATATCGACAATTTTGTTTATTGTCGTATCGATATAAATGAAAATGTGCCTCATCACTCATAAACAACGTCATGTCATTGTTATCCAACTGTTCAATTATGAGCTGTGCAAAATTAACACGTTGTGAATAATCCCATGGCAACAGTTGTTGACAAACTTGGATTTTGTAAGGATGGAACACTAAATCCTTCTTCAAGATTCGACGTACAGAGGATGCGTGGATCCCTAGGGAACTGGCACGCAAACGGACGGAACGATTCGGGATTTGCAGAGTGTCAACTCTCACTCTGTTTACGTTTTCGGGGGTTCTAACAGTACAGTTTCGCCTTGGCGATTTTTTCTTCATCACATTACCTATTGTGTTGAATGCTTCCACCCATCTCAAAATGGTGTTATGGCCTGGTACTGTACCACGACGTGGAACACGAAAGTGAACGCGAAACTCACGTTGCGTTCGAACGTCAGACTCGCTATTTTGAAAGTACCGACGTACAGTGAACACACGATGCTCAACGTTCCAAACCAGCTTGCCAACTGAAACAACACTTCTCCCACTATCCAACACGCCCTTCCCCACCGACACGGGACCAACGCATTTGAAAAACGTTGCGTTCTTTCTGACGGATCCACCATCATGGTAACACTCCATGAATTCGGTTATATGTTATTGCATAATAATGTAAAAGAATCGAATAAACACGTTTTATTATTATTAATACCATTATTATTTCGCTAATAACCATCTCATAAGGATTTACAGCAATATGAGCTTGTTTTGTGAATGCTTTGGAAAAGCGGCACTACTCAGTATACAGGGCTTTTCTTTGGCGCCTCCCAGCACCCTTCTCCACCTTTAATTCCTCGAATGTGTCAAGTTAGCAAGTTGAAATTTGGGGTAATGCATAAATACTAATGAGGTGACATTCGAAGATTTCAAGATGGTGTCTAAGCACTAAATTGAATTTCTTTTTTTTTAATAAAAAGGCAACTATGTGACATCATCTTGAACAGAAAAAGTTTTTATATGCTCGATCGCTTCTCTCAACAAATTATTATAGAAACACTAATTATGTTATATTAATGTTCTCCTGGTAGGATCCGAATGTGCAAAAAATATGAGAAACTAACTCTTTCGAAAAAAAATATTTTGACATATTTTCCCTATCAAAATATTCTATCATTTATTGCATATTGGGATAGACTCTACCAAAAAAATAACATATAGTGTTATCTTGATCAGTTATCGAGTTATAAGCAATGAACAAATATTCTCAACATTATTTGCCCACCAGTCAAGCATTTTTAGAGGTGATGAACTTTATTATCTATAATTATAGTATATACAGTATGAGACATAAGGAGCTTCAAAATTATTTATCACTATTCAATCCATTAAAAAAATGAATCTCAAAGCTATATTGAGATTTTCATATATCACATTTATACTTAAATCCATTCCTTTATTTCATCATCACTACTAGCTTGACCTGTTGAAAGCATAAATGCGGGGGACAAGAAAGGCACTTCAAATGGATATATCAGCTGCAAAGTACACAAAAATGTAAATGTTGTAAAACACTTAAACATGGACATTTAAAAGCTCTACTTTAGTTTCCTGACGTCGTACCATTTGGAGCCTTGTGCGTTGCCGAAAACTCCAAGTTTATTCAGACATAAGTTTTGTAATGCGGTGAATACTGCGTGTTGATAAATGATTTCATCAGAACAAGCTTGGAATGAACATCTTTCGTCGTATGCATATTCTCAATAAACATACAGGTGCTCGTGGATCTGGCTCTCCTCCGTAATACCACCGTGCGTTGAGCCTGACAGGCAGAGCCGTCAGGCTTCTATCGCCCATCCTCAATCTGTCAAACTTGACACATCCAAAACTGGCCGATACCACCGATCCTTCGTTCCTATCATGTAGAGATTGTGGAGCAATCTGCCTGGTAGGGCTTTTCCCAGTTCTAGTAACCTTGGGCAGTTCAGTAGTCGGATCAACAAGGTACCTTAAAGCTCCATATAGCAGTCCTGATGCTTCGGTTTTTTGGGTTTCTGTCTACGCTGTTGCATCAGTATTATAAATATGTATTAAGAAGAATTTCTTTATTTTTGGCTTAGTTTCAACCAAACATATTAACATAATGTCATAAGTTCACGTGGATGATGGGCAGCCATCTGGATACCAGTAGTCACGTAAATACCTGCAACTCCTGTTTGCGCGTTAGCTTTTTGTGTATGTGCTTAACCTGTCAGGTAGCAGTTGTCAGTCAAAAGGCATAACCGTTTCCTTGAGGCAGTCACTGTTCTTTTATTTGAATATGTGAGATTCTTTGATGTGACTTTTGAGGAATGCTTGAGAATTGAGAAGTTGTTTATATTATTTTGTTAGTTAACGGCTATAATTATTACGCATGCTCAATGTTATTATCCAATTTAGCAATTACATTAGGAATCAATATAAGAAGAGCATGTCAACTAGTAAATTTCTCTCTGGTGAGTAAATTAATTCTGTATAACAGATTATGTATATTCAATCATTTATATTTGGATTGTCCAATACATAACTTTGCAGCTCTATTATTAATTTGGTTTATATGTTGCACATTATTCTATTTGTCCGTCTTTCATAATTATACATACAATTTCAGAATGATTCTGGTGAATTCGTGTGCATTAGCCGATAGATTGAAACGACATGTCTTTCTACCTATTTGCCAGTTTATGTCTCAGCTGATATATTGTCATAACGGAATATGCTTATCTGATCTTTATATATTTTTCTATCGAATATCTAAAATGACCAGGATGCTTCGTGGCATTGCATTGGAACCAAGAGAACTAAGGCCAAACTCAATAAAATTCAGCGTTTGGCTTGTACCTTTATTACAAGTGCAGTGCGGACAACGCCATTGAGTGCAATGGAAGCTCTGCTTGACCTCCTCCCGCTGGATCTAGTTTTCCTGGGTGACTTGGTGTACCCACCCTGGGATCGTCGCTAAGACTCACCCGTCCACGTTTGAATTCTCCATACCAACGGGAAATTATCGACTGATGTGACGCTTCATTGCCGAAAACAGACTGTAACTCAGAAAGGCATTCTTGTTGCGATAATTGTCTCTCAAAGTTGTAATAAATTATGGCGCGAAAATGTTCTCGGTTGAGTTTCATTTTTCTAATGATTTTGTGACACTTAAAAATTCACTGCAGTGAGAACATTGCACGTATTGTTGTGAAACTTTGAATTTAAGTTTACTAAAGAGTGAGATTAAGATTCAGTACTGACGTTCGATCCTCGTGGCCTACTATGTTTCTATATGCAAAACTTAAAAGACATCCCTCGTACTTCACATATGATCCCCGCTATATCAATATTACCGCAGGCGATCTCCTTGGTATTCAGATCCATCTTTCATGAAAGAATCTTGCTACTTCAATACATTCCACGCTATAGGTTCGTAGGTAACGTCTGAAATGAACAGGTTTGCTTTCCGTCTCTTTAACCACGACCAACCGCAGATAGCGCTGTTTCTTGCTCAGCAGCAACTCATCAGTGCGGTATAGGTGTAGAAGTCCTGGAGACAGATGAATGAAGAGCAAACAAGTGGGAATGCTCGTTTGGAAAACTCAAAATACTGTTCTTAGATAACTACAGAACGCTTATCTCCCACATCTCTATACCTGGAATATTCATGGAGTTGAATCTGCCATGCGGTCTCGCTGTTGCTCGCAGGCGCTACCAACGAAAAATCAAGTGTGCGGTTTGTTGCAGCTCCTTTATTGGAGGAAGGCCGAATATACTATTCATGGAAGTCAGTCTGCCGAGACGCTAGCCGAAGTATTAATCGATAGAAGTTTGACTTTGAAATAGATGCATTATTCAGAATTTACAGATTTGCTTTTTTCTTTTACTTTCCAACAGAACAACTCTCTAATACTTCTACATGTCTAGGTGACTTGTGCCTGATAATTTATAGTTGTCAAATTATTTTACCAGAATACTCAGCAACGGATCGATTTCTAAGTCCATCAAACTTCCACTTCTCAGTCTTTTTCGAGTGACTTCTAATCCGGTGCCGTTTGAATAACATGATAAAGAGTTTTATTTGGTATTCAATGAAACTCCATCTCATTAGCATCTCTACGTTCGAGCCATGCTGATTACGGAAAGAAACCGAGTCGGGAGATACAGAGAATTCCTTTAAGGAGGATGTCGGTCTTGACTAATCGAGTTTCCACTTCCCAGGCACTGAGCGACTCTGAAATCGATGTCGGAAGTTGATAAACATAATATTGAGTTTGGTGAACTTCGACTACCCTACCATGTGAAACGGGCCAAACGGCGTCACCAGTCGAGGCATCGGCTGTTTAAAATGCGACCAATCGTTAGTTGAAGCCATGAAGTAAAAGAAAATATACCAAAAAAGTACCATTCGGGGCTATGGTAATATTGACTTTTTCTTCTAAAAGTTAAGTGGTCCATTGTTCCGCCTTATTTTTTATAAATTTGCCAGGAATTCTGCACTGCCATATCTATGCAGTGAATTATAAGAGGAAAATACCACTTTTTTCCTCTTATGGCGGTACGATAGAGGTTTATATTTTGGTCAGAACGATAAACCCCTTCCATGTTCCTATTATATAATTGGACCACATGTGGCTGCTGTGCCTGGAGAAGATGTCAACCACTCGTGTTGGCGAAACGTCAAGTAAAAATATTTTACGACGGCCTAAAACTACCCAAAAACCAACCAAATAACATGATAAGGATTGTCAAAAGCAGCCGTAACATTCTAAATGCTTTTTCACATAATTATAACGTTTCTCCTTCTTTGCTTGCTTGCATGTTCAGTTGATTGCTTCTGTCAATTGACCCAAGGGTATATCGTCTTCTCAGTTCGAATCACACTTATCATTTACTCTGCATTTGAGACGGCGGCGGCGGCAAGAGTTACTTATATATACATGTACATCGTCTTCTTCGCCGAATTTTCATCTGCCAGATTTTCGGATGCATTGTCAGGTGAAAATAGTGTGATGGTATCGGCTTGCACTTTGTCATATTCGATCATAGGCAGGGCTTCATATAATGAAAACCCTCTGCAACACTAAAAACTGAGGGTAATTTAGAAGAAGTAGCAGTAGTATATTTGCCCAATGTACTTTATATAGGACAGATAAATTTTTACCTAAACTGTGAAAAAGCTAGGGAATATTATTCATTGCCTCAAGCATATATTCCCCCTGTCGACTTTATATATAGGAATGTACTCCATTATATGGAATCCACTTCAATGCAAATCATCAAAACTCAGCGTACCTTGCAGACCTGATGCGGTATTCAGCCATTTCGGCGAAATCTAGTACTTGGACTCCAAAGTACACTAACAGTCGGTCAGAAAACGATAACTATCCACCGTACCCTAAGCCGAACAACGTTAGACTAAACGAAACGAATGAACTAATAGATTTTTACATACCCCTTTTGACAAGAATTGACAAGTTTGAGATGTACTACATATATGCCAGTGGGCACATCTGGGTTAAAATATATACGCAATAATATAAATAAATAAATTAAAATATATATCACAAAATCGAGTATTGAGCTTTCACTTGATATTTGTTTTTGAAAGGCAATACGCCTACGCAAATCAAAGATGAGTTGGATTCTGTGTATGGGGAATCTGCACCATCACTTACCACAGTGAAATTTTGGGCAGCTGAATTTAAACGTGGTCGTAAGAGCCTGGGGGGTGATGAACGTTTGGGACGTCCAAAAACTGCAACTACCGACGAAAACATCGCCAATGTTAACCAAATGCTCGACGACCGCCGAATTGAAGTGAGAGAAATAGCAGAGGTTATGAACATCTCAAAAGAACGTGTTTGACACATATTAAATCAACATTTAGGCATGAGAGCGCTGTCCGCGAGTTGCGTGCCGCGTTCGCTCACGTGTTCGAATGAACATTTCCAACGCTCTGTTGGCGCAGTTTAGGTGCAATTAATCCGAGTTTTGGTGCCCACTGCAGATCAAACTTGGATACACCATTATATGCCCTAAACAAAAATACAGTCCAGACAGTGGACTGCAAAGGGCGAACCATCTCCAAAAAAACTGTTTTTCTCGGCTGGGAAAGCGATGGCGACTGTTTTTTGGGATAGACATGGAGTTATTTTAATCGATTATTTTATCTTCAAAAAGAAAAAACCTTTAGAGGAGCATACTTTGCATCATTACTTGACAAGCTGAAGGCAGAGCTTGTGGAAAAACGGCCACATGTGCAGAAAAACGGTTGACCATCCACCTTACGCGCCAGATCTAGCCCCAAGCGACTTCTTTTTGCTCCCTCATGTAAAAATTGCGCTCACAATTATAAGGATTTTTTCGCGAGTCCACGGTGTAGCACAATGCACTACCGGGAACCGATTCTCAAACTTTCGCGAAGAACGGGAATAGGGGAAGACGGATGTGACGTCGTCCGAATGTCAAAAACTCACGTGGTACGGGTACCCGCCTAACGTCTGTGAGGTACTAGCGGGTGACAGGTCTTATGTCAATGTCATTTAAAAAATAGGCATCTCAACCGAAAATTTGTCTTGGCAGTGCCGAAGATTGAGTTAAATTATTAAATCATAAATGGATCTGATTTTAAATGGCGAGGGAAAAAGGCATCGAAGATATATACTATGTGACATATAAATCCGAACACCCAGTTTAAATGGTTTTATTTTAATAAAATTTTGTATAAGTACTTAATGAAGCATAATAAGTAAATGATAAAAATTTCAAAATGGTTGCACTGCTTTAAAGCTCTTTGACCTTTAATAATGTGTGGATGCACCCTGATGTGCTACGCATTCTCCAACGCGCCTAGGCATGTTTCTGATCAATGTCCTCCTGTGGTATCTCATTCCAGGCAACCGCCAACTCCTCTCGAAGTGCTTCTGGAGTCTGAGGAGGACGTTGCAAATTGAGCAATCTCCTACCCATCATATCCCACACGTGCTCAATTGGGGATAAGTCGGGAGATCTTGGTGGCCATGGTAACAATGTGAAATCATTATGTTGAAAGAAGTCTATTGTGACTCTTGCAACATGTGGTCGGGCATTATCTTTTTGGAAAGTTGGATCTGCCAGGGTGTCAAGATAGGGTAAAAGATGGGGTTCTAGAGCTTCGTGGATATAACGCTGCGCGTTCATGTTACATCTGATGAAGATTAAAGGTGACCTGGAACCATAAGCTATAGCACCCCAAACCATAACTCCAACAGTGTGATGAACATGTCTTTCACAAAAAACTGTGGATTCCTCCTTTCACCACGTCGCCTTCTAACCCTGGCACGACCATCGTGCATGCCTAAACAAAATCGAGACTCGTCACTAAAGACAATACTGTTCCATTCCTGATCCCAGAGTGACCGTTGTCTGCACCACTCAAGGCGATTACGTCGGTGTTCTCGAGTTAAAGGGAGGACCCAGTGTGGCCGGTATGAAAACAAGCCAAAACTTCTTATTCGTCGGTAAACACTTCGCATGCCGATAGGTCTTCCGTGTTCTGCAAACCATCCATTTGCAATAGACCTGGTAGTGGAGAAACGGTCCCTTAAGGCCAATAATCTTAGGCGGCGATCTTCACGGTCTGTTGTTCTACGGCGGCGTCCAGTGCCCCTTGCTCTTTGCGTACGGCCTTCTCGAAGCCATGCCTGACAACACCTAATCACAGTGTCTACACTTCTTTGCACTCTAACTGCAATTGCCCGAAAAGAAAGTCCAGCTTCCCGAAGTCCCACTATACGGCCCCTATCAAACTCACTAAGTTGACGAAATCGTACAGGTCTCCGTACTCCAGGCATCGTAACCGATCGTAAAGGATGTCAAGAACCAAAATCCGCCAACGTTGATTCTTTACTGCGGCTGAAATATTCATTTTTAGAGCGTTAGTGAATTAAAAAAAAAGCAGTATAAAAACCGGAATGTCCAACTGATAAGGCTGAAAATTTTTTCACTTGTTATTTACAGTAAGATAAATACATTCACCAACTTTTATTAAAATAAAACCATTTAAACTGGGTGTTCGGATTTATATGTCACTTAGTATATGAACCGCACTTATCATATCAAATGATTGATTTTATTGATATATGTATATGTACATTGCACAAAAAACTATCGGTCTGTTTATTTCAAATTCAAACAAGACAGCTAAGTTTATCAAGGAGCTCAAAGCAAACATTTTGGGCAACATGCGTCATCTAACCAGTCCCGGTGTAACTTGAGACTGTCAAAACTTAGAGAGGAAGGGGAAATAACATCTGTTCCCGCTCCCGTTCACCACGGGATCTCGCGAAAAAATCTCTTATATTGCAGAGAAAAACGCCGAGTACTATTTGGACGCATTACAGAGACGGGAGCATCGCTGGGAGTGTGTAGAGTTACAAGGTCGGAAACTTTTCAGACCACTCTCGTATATCTAAGTTCTAAAAGTGACAGAATCACCGGAGTTAAAGGAATAAATATATACATAAAAAAATTGAGATATACCCACTTCCATCCCCGACGACCTCTAACTTCCAAATTTTAAGTCCTACAAAATGATCAGGATCATCTGAAACGACAAAAAAGGAAGTCTGAGCGATATTTATTCAATTTTTTTTTGTTTTTGGCCTTTCTTTCCGCCGACACTAGTCCAATTTCCAAAAACTATAAAGCTTTCACGTCCTTGTCATAGTAGTATAGCTATAGGCGGTTATAAGATTAGCATACAGACGGACAAACGGACAGACAGGCACACCGACGGAAGTGAGTGACATTTTCGAAAATTTTCGCGATTACCGTATTTACTGGCGTCAATGATTATCCCCTTAGGTCATAGTTTACCGTACAGTAGAATTCTTCTAGTAAACAGATATGATTTGAATTATCGCAGAGATAGGCAATGATCATTCCGCATCAATTACCCTTTTCTGTCCGAAATCCATTTAGCTGTGTTTGTGAAAGTAATTAACAGTTCAGCCCCTATGCCGGGTATTGCCTCAGCCCTTAGCCCGCAGAGATGATGTGTGTTTATGTGTATGCTTATACATTTGCTCAGCTATTCAACAACACGTTACAACCAGTACCAGATCCACAATACCAAAGTACATGGATTACTGATAGTAGGGTCACTCAGTGTGGTCAGCTAATGTAGGCCAGGAGGCCCATACTTTCTGGCTCCTCTTCACAATCAGCGATTACGAACTATTACGCACGAGCACGATCGTGTATACTGCATACTCGACTATACTCGCCGATCATCGTCTATTCTCGCCTTCGACCCGTGAATTGTCGATTTTTCGGACACGCGTGAAAGGGAATCGCCGGGTCATATTGATGCTTGCTGTTCGTGTGGATGCTTGCACGATGATCCTGCCCATTATGAATGATCACACGATCAACGATCATCGCCGATAGTGAAGTACAAGCGTCACATCCCATGTACTTTTACGTATACGAACGGCAGATATGCGGAAGATTGCTAACTCTATGAAATCTGTCCCACGTTCATCAGAAGAGCATTCGCTTTGAAAATGCTGAGCGGCACTGCGAATCGAGTTACTCAACCAGTTGAAAGTTCGTTTAAGATAATAGTTATAACATATTCTGATGACGATTAGTGAAAGGCTCGTTCGAAACTTTTGTTGTTGTCATTAAATAGACTCAGCTTTTGTCGTCACCATGCATTATTAGACGAAAGTATAAATCTGTTTATCTCGAACATTGGCAAGTGAGTGGTTCTGTTATGTCCTCGGCCATAATTTTCAAAAATCTGCTTTAATTCCCGAACCGGAGCTCTACTTTATCCAAAATTAATGAATTCAAAGATCTTTTTAGAAGCTGAGTGTTGGGCACATTTATTATGTTCTAACTTCTCACATATATCAGTCAAAATGAATAGGAGTTGTTTAGTATTTTTGACTACTGTCACAGCCGTGTAAGTCATACACAAGGACTTATTATTGCGCCAAACACACTGATGTCTATAGTTGTTGATACTCATCAACCCAGATGGCGCAGCTTAAATTATTTTTTCGAATACCTATACAGAGAATTGTGAAAGATGCACTGTCAGGGAGAAGTAAGTTGATTTAAATTTAAACTAGTGCCAGGTATCTAACAGAATAGAGTGATAGTGTCCGCCGAGAGATACCAAAAGGACCGTGGTGGCGGAGCCTGCTGGAGGCATATGTTATGCAACTGACATAAGAAGAAACCAAAATCGTCAAACACCCTAGGCGTTGTCTGCAGGGACCTGAATGGGGAGCATTCGCGCTTGTTGAAGGAATGCGCAACCGCAAAAACTCTACTAATGGAAGAGACAAAACTATATACTGCAAGCT